GGGGTATTACTGGTCCTCCTGCAACATAGTAGCCTTTACAAACACAAGTGGAGGAACATCAGTCACTGATCATCCAACCCAGAATATGTTTACTGTGGAACTGAACAGCCTCCACGACTCTGATTCTGGATATTATTGGTGTGCTGTGGAAATTGATGGCAGCCCTGGTGACAAGGATTATTTGTACCTGGAGGTCAGTGCAGGTAAGGAGTTTCTCTGTGTGAAGCTCAACATGTTCACTATAACTTGAAGCTTGTAAGACGTCAACTTTGATAGAGTTTACACCACTCATTCTCTGCCTCTTTATTCAGATCCTGCTGTGTCTGTGATAAACAGCAGATTGAGTGGTCAGGAAGGGGGCAGTTTCAGTGTCCAGTGTCTCTACAGTGCTGAATATAAGAATAAACAGAGGAAGTGGTGCAGATTTACAGACTGGAGGTGTTTCCTAGGGGGGAGGACTGATACATCCAATAATTCAGCAGTGCTGGTCAGTGACTATGGAAAAGGATCCGTCAGGGTGGAGATAAGGGGTCTGCAGAAGAGTGATGCTGGCTGGTACTGGTTCAGTGCAGGAGATGTGGAGGTTACTGTTCACCTCACTGTCACTGAAAGACCTTCAAGTAAGATCACATGTATCAGAAATACTGTTCATACCTGCTGATCATCAAGCTGCAATGTTGTTCCACTCACACCAACTTATTTGTTATCTTCTTATATTAGCAACAGCTGTGACTACAACTTTAAGCAGTCAGGAAACTCAGAAAAGTGTGACCACTCCTGGTATGGTCACTCTCTCTTGTTGCACGAGGCTCGAGCGCTGTCCTCATGACGCCTATAAGAGCAGTTTGGAATATTTTCTCCTTCTCTCTCTCTCTCTCTCTCTCTCTCTCTCTATATATATATATATATATATATATATATATATATATTCACACCGATCAGGCATAACATTATGACCACCTCCTTGTTTCTACGCTCATTATCCATTTTATCAGCTCCACTTACTGTATAGGTGCACTTTGTAGTTCAACAGTTAAAGACTATAGTTCATCTGTTTCTCTGCATACTTTGTTAGCTCCCTTTTACCTTGTTCTTTAGTGGTCAGGACCCCATGAACCCTCACAGAGCAGGTACTATTTGTGTGGTGGATCGGTGTATGTATGTAAACACATATATATATATATATATATATATAATATAGTGTGTGTGTGTGTGTGTGTGTGTGTGTGTGTGTTGTGCCACTAACATTTGTTTCTTATTTCATATGTTAGCAACAGCTGTGACTGCAGCTTCTGGCAGAGGGAAAAGCAGCATCAGTGAGGACTCTTCAGGTACGATCACTAGCCCTGCTCTTTAATCAACAAATCAAGGAACAAAAAGAAATTCAGATTATTCTTGGAGGTTTCTTGCCAGCTGTGTGTGTGTGTGTGTGTGTGTGTGTGTGTGTGTGTGTGTGTGTTTTCTGTGATTTGGAATTGTAAAGCATATTTGAATTTGAGACAGACATGAAATTATTATTATTATTATTATTATTGTTAAACATAGTGTGACTGATAGCTTTCAAAATATAAAAATAATAAAGAACAAAAAGAAAATGGCAACATCTGTTGCTTTAATGAAGTTGAGGAAAATAGTAATAAAAACACTCAGCTTTTACAGTTATAGCTGGTATCTGTGCTGAAATATAAATCAGCATGTATTTGGGATATTCTGTTCTTTAAAATGTTGTAGAGATTGTTCAGTAACATTCGGACTGTGTTAAAGCTGTAAATTATATTTTACTACATGTTCTGACACTGAGAAACTCAAGTGAGTAAAAAAACAATATTTAAAATATTGAAGAGAACGAAACAGATCAGTATTGCTCAGTACTTATGGTGCATATTTTGCATATAAATTGCCACATCAGTACTAAGCAGACTAGTGCTGTTAAAATATATATTACAATATTTACCAAACTTTTATCAAAGATTATAAAGTTATCACATAATTGTCGTTAGAAAAAATGCTACCACATCATAAAAGTTGAGGTGCAACATAACATAACAAAAATAGAAATTCTTAAAAGTGGTCTATGATGCGTTTCCAACAAAACCTTTCATTTATTGCTAACTGTTGCTGACAGGCCCTGTTTATCATTTACATGCATCACAATACAGTAATTAAAGTGTCACTGATTGTTTTGTAAGAGATCAGCTTATGTCGCCACCACCTGCCAGCAGAGAACACGTCATTTTAACTTCTGCTTTTTCGGCTTTTCCCACCATTTTCTCACTCCAAGTCTTAGGAGTGCAACTCCTCTTGCTGTCTGAGCCCCCTGGTGATGCAGTGATAACACATTATAGAATCTGTCATCATCACCACAAGATATAAACTGACAGTCTGACACCTCAGTTTGTGAACTTATACAGGTTGTGATTTATTCCTGCTTTGTTTTGTGTTTCAGAGAGTCAGTGCAGTTCTGTCTCACACACAACTGAATGATTCCACAAATGCTGAGATCCTGGAGGTGTTGAGATTTTAAGAAGCTACAACACTCTGCAACTTTTGTATCTGAGCTTTTGTTGTGGGCAGCAGAGCAACAGGTCCATCAGTAATGTCAGTTTAGAATGTATTTCTTCGTCTTCTTGCTTCATGAGCTCCTGTTTTAACTACTGTTTCAGCTTTTATTGGTTTCTCTGAACAAACTCCAACCCTGACTACACACTCAAAACTCAGCCTATAGAGTCTCACACAAACCCAACAATCAGTTCACGTCACTACTATCCTCTATCAACAGCACCGGTACCTCTCATCCCAAATTCAATATATAAACTCAATTACAGAACAAGTTGGGACAGTGTGTGAAATGCCAGTAAAAACAGAAAACAGTGATTAGTAAATTCTGTTGGACTGTATTAAATTGAAAACAGTACAAAAACAGAGTATCTGATGTTTTTGTTTGTTATGTCCTCACATTTGTTCTAAATTCTTGTTTAAAAACTGAAGATGTCATTCAAATTGTATTTATATAAAAGCAGACATAATTTCTTCAGAAACATTTCTGAAATGTTGTATGTACAATGGAAGATTTACTAATATGGAGCTATAATAAAGATTGTTGTAAGTCTCCGGGGACTCATTTCTCAATTGTGCACACTCACAGTTTTGTACATAAACCTCACATACACACTTTTTGCATAGAACGTGATGTAGCTTTTTTCTTGTGTGTGAAAATGTGTGTGTGTGTGTGTGTGTGTGTGTGTGTGTGTGTGTGTGTGTTTAGATATTTGAAATTTAGATGTTTGAAACTTTTAAGGTGTTTTAACTTTTAATCCACATTTAGAAATTTCACATCATTTTAATTCACATCTGATATTCAGTGTAAACAAGAAAAATGTTATAAACAGAAAAAAAATATTAAATGTAAACAAAAAAAATAATTCCTTGTAGACATTATAATCTAGAATAAAAAGTTGTATTTTTATCAATAAGAACAATTGTTATATGTAACACTTCAGCTTTTTAAATGCTTCGTAGGCTACTCAGAAAGTTGTTAATTATATATACACTCCAAACATGTAATGTCACAACAAATAACTTAACAAAACACTTATGACAGCAAATGTTCCTCTGACCATAGATGTAGTTAATGAGCCAAGACATGTTTGGCGCCTAAATTTTGCTTCTTTAGTTTAGCACTGGATCTACGAGGCTAACATTGCTAACAAACACTAGAAGTCAGTAGTCAATTTTTATAAACGAGCGTCAATCTTGAATTTTTGACCTGAAGATTATGTATAAAAATTGAAACAGAATCACAAATGTAGCATGTGGTGTGCATGAAAAGAGGAGTCGGATTTTGTAGGGTATTCAGAATTTGGCACAACACCTGTAAAGTGGATGTCTACAGCATTCAGATACTTGAGGAGGTTTCTGCATTTTTGTAACTCACAGTAAGTCATTCTGTGTCCTAAACCACATTGACACAACTTTAATGAAGACATAGATGCGGTTTGAAGGGTTGGGAGACATTTTGAGGATGTATTTATGGAAAAAGTTTGGGTGACTATTGACTTTTAGTGTTTGTTAGCAATATTAAACTTGTAGCTCCAGCGCTAAACCAAAGAAGCAACATTTGGACACTAAACTTGTCTTGGCTGGTCGGTGACATCTGAGTGACAAACTGTGTTAATTTGATTTTTCACCAATACATTCCTTTAAGTTTGCATATTTCTATGCATGATTACCTGCAGGTACTACTGAAAGGCCTTTTACAGCTAGAAAAAGTGTGAATCAGCAAGCAGTAAAAACCTTAAGCTAATGTGTTGGAATGAAACCATTTTCATGATAAATGTCCTAATAAAAATCTAATATATAAACCTAATATATAGTACAAATTTCATTGTCAGATGACTTGCATTGCAGTATCTTCTTTGTAAGAGATCTGGCCACACTCGCTTACACCTGTAATAAAAACAGATAAAAGAAAAAACGACAAATCAAATTTACACAATTTTCAAATGACCCCTAAAGTGCTCGAAAGGCAAAAACATTTTTAGTGTCCGAACTTTGCTTCTTTAGTTTTGCACTCGAGCTATGAGTTAACAGAAGTTACATTATGCTGCGTACAACTGGAACAAACTGCCAGAAGATCATAGATGTGCCTCAAATGTAAAGATTTTTCTTTTCATAGGCTTATAATTGAGCTCTAAAACTCTATTTTTACCGCACTTTACCCATAACAAGCTAATAATAACACTTAAGCTCCAACTCTTTAAGTTCCTTTAAGTTTTGTATTCTGCTTTTATGTACTTTGCATTTCCTTTTAATTATTTGTTTCATTATCTTTTAAGCTACTTTTTATTTTTTATTGATTTTCACTTTTAAGCACTTTGCCTTTATTTTTCCTTTTGACATTCTTTTTTTTATTTATGTAAAGCATATTTAATTGGTTATATAAATAATGTGCTCACATAAACAAACTTGCCTTGCCTATCCCAAGCAGTTTTTGGGACACCAAACATTGATCGACAATCGACAACATTTGGGGTACAATTTATTTTTCACGGAACCCTTCATGTGAATAACAGTCCATGACAGACCATACCATAGCTATTGTATTTTGACACTCACTCTGAGACTCTCTCACCTCTTACTCTGAAACCACAGAGCTGTAGATCACCTCATCATCTCCGACTGCCTGAGAGAGCTGGAAAATAGGACAGGGTTAGAAATAATGGAGGATCTCTCATTCCTACCACCCTGAGTGCTCTTTCACCAGCTAAACTAAATGTTTAATAAGGTTGAGGTCAAAGCTACATTTTTTTCTCATAAACTCTTAAAGTTTCAACCAGTTAATGCCCACTTAACTTAAACTATCAAGTGATTAAAACAGTGAACTGTTACTGGTGATAATGGCTGTATTTTCACTGACAGTTTTCTGTTTGGTTGTTGTGGTTGCATTGCTGTAGATCACATCATTTTCATGATCCGATGCAGATGAAGGCTGTGGACATAATTTATTCAATAACGTATTCTCTTAATGTTTCAGTAATCCAGTAAATACCATTTGCATGCATCAGTGGTTTAGGCAGTGCAACACCTTTAATAAAAAACACACGTCCACTCACCACAGACACTATTTTTACCCAGTGATGACAAAACAGGGGTCTCTGACAGCTGAGATGTACAAAGAAGAGCAACCACACCTAAACATAATCAGCATAGGCTAAATACTGCCATAACAGGCATGAAAATGTTCATGGACCATTTATGTCATACCTTTGATGCCAAAGCCCATTGTAGCTTTTGTGCCAAAAAAAATGTGGCTTTGAGAGAAGAAAACAAATCGAATTTCATTTCCCTAAAAATGCTACTTAATAAATATCCTTTCAGCATTTAATTGGGTAGGCTTGTGATCAACCCATGTCTACACCGCCGATATACAGATATGTGTGAAAAATAAAGTCTTACCTTTTTCTTTTTATGTATCACAGAGCTGTATATCACTGGGCTTTCAGTCATAGGTGCCTGTTTTACACAAACAAATGTGATTTTACACAAAGCCAAAACTAGAAAAGCAAAAAGCACCCATAAAAGTATTATATTCATTTTTCTAAAAACAAATGAGCTTTCAAAATTACAAGAGAGGCACAACACTACCTACTGCACCACGAGCAAAACTGCACCAGAACCACAAAAAATACTGACTGTGTGAACTACAGTGTTACTGACGCTCCCTCTGGTCTCTGTTTCATTTTCATCTGTTAGAGGGAGATATTAATGAATTAATTAATATTAATTAATTAGTTGTCTAATTGTACTTGTGTAATAACACAACATTAATAATGCACAAGATAGCACAACATGGACATGTGTTATTAGTTTTTAATCCAGTCCTTTTTAATAACAAAATTTTAAAAGCATGCTAAAAAGACCTGTAAGAAAATGGGAGATAGTGAAAACTTACTGCACTTTTTTGTCAACATCCAGGTTATAATGGTGGCCAGAATCAGCAGCAGCCCCAGGCCTACAGCCAGTAGAGCCCAGATGAGCATGGCATTTCCATTGCTGCAATGAATGATATTTTGCATTGAAAACTGTTACTGCAGGAGGGGCAGATCTTCTACTGCAAAAAGCAAAGAGCAAAAACATGCTACACTGAGGTGTGAAAGTACAGCTATTTTTATAGAGTAACACCACTTACAGGACTGCACCACTTAAATGTCTTGCAGAATGGAGACACATGGTGCAGTATGTCCAAACGTGTCAGACAGCCATTCTCATTAGTGAATTCAGCTACTTTAATGTTGAACCCTTTACTGATACAGGAGTTAAACTGCAGAGCACTGCTAAGATGACCTTTTACTTAAGAGCCAAATAAAATGCAATACACACAACCTATTTCAGTGTTTTGGCATTACTATTTGGATTTGGAGTTAGATTCTGAGTTTTTGAGCAGAGTTAGCTACCTTTGCTGTACACACAGATTCAGGGTTGCTGCACAATTTTTAAAATTACAGTCAATGATTTTTTAATACCTTTTTAGAACCTCAGCAGCATGTCACTCGCAACAAGTGGTAGAAAACAGTCTCTAGCATGCTCACATTTTACAGGGCCACGTTTATATGGAGGATGAAGAGTTTAAAAAGTGGAAACACAGGAGCTGCAGATATCACACAGTTTAAGCTTCCTCTTTAAAACAGTTCAACACTGCAGAAATGTAAACTGCTTTGTTATCTTCTGGAAACACTTCTAACTGCTGCAGGTTGTGAATAATGACTGTCTATGACAAAGGAGTAAAAAGAGCACAAAGAACAGAAAAGGACCCAAACTGAATCAAGCTTATTGTACTTTGGACATCCACACATTTAATACCTTATTTAATACATTTTTAGACATTTTTCACCTTAAATTTTCAATATCTATTTCAAGAGTTTACACGACACCCTGCGATGGACTGGCGGCCAGACCAGAATGTTTCCAATGACTGCTGGGATAGGCTCCAGCACCCCCTGCGCCCAGAAGGATCAGCGGCTTATAAAGTGTCTGTGTATTTTAAGAGTTTACATGACGCCCTGTGATAGACTGGCGGCCTGTCCAGGGTGTATCCTGCCTTCTACCTAGTTTGTGTTTACTGTGAGACCAAATATCGGGACTATGACCGGGCCAAAACCATCAGTAAAAACCATGGTTTGGGCTTGTTTTTTTTTTGTTGTTTTTTTTTTGTTTTGTTTTGTTTTTTTGTGCATGGGAACATAGGTTTAACTTCAAGCTACTCTCAGTAAGATTTAGAGATTTTGTATAATTGCACGCAACACATGGAAGAACATTCTGTAACACTGGTTATGTTTCAGACCCTTTTTAAAAGCTGATGAATGAGATGATTGTGAGAGCATTGAAAAGGTATTCAAAAAGAACTCGTCTTCCAAGAATGTGAGTGAATTATCTACTATTCTTCTACTATTCTCATCAGTATAATGTTGATTCTGCATGTGAGACCTAAACATCAAGCTAGATCTTCTTTTTCAGCCTCTGCATTTGACGTTAATACATAAAGACGTAACTTGTGGTTTGAAAAACTCAAATCCAGCCAAATCCAGCCTGACGCCTCTGACTTTTAAATTATTGTTTTACAGGGTGACTTGTAGCAGCGAACGGACACCATATCTAAAATCAATAAAAAATCAGCTCATCTGAATTTCACATAATTGTCTTGCATCTTCCCACTCTTGCTTGTGCCATGTTCATTCTCAGAAGCTGTTACTGCAGGAGGCTTAGTTGTTCTTCAAAAAGCAAAGAGCAAAAACAGGCTATATTAAGGTGTGAAAGTTTTTGAACACTTACACAAAGTAGAACGTCACTACTTACAGCTCTACTGTTGCTGTCTCTGTATTTTTGGACACAGCTGTAGAACCTAAAAGGACATGATAAACATATTCACTCTTTCTGTTTCTTGATTTGATTAATTTTAAGGCACTGTTTGTGTTCAGACCTGAAGTGGTTTCACTAATACTGGTTTTCTCAGTGGCAGAAACTGTAGTCACAGCTGTTGTTGCTGTTAGAAGGGAGAAATAAATTGATGTGAGTGGGACAATATTACAGCTTGATGGTCTGCAGGTATGAACAGTATTTCTGATACATGTGATCTTACTTGAAGGTCTTTCAGTGACAGTGAGGTGAACAGTAACCCCCACATCTCCTGCACTGAACCAGTACCAGCCAGCATCACTCTTCTGCAGACCACTCATCTCCACCCTGACGGATCCTTTTCCATAGTCAATGACCAGCACTGCTGAATTCTGGAATGTGTTAGTCCTCCCCACTGGGAAACAACTCCAGTCTGTAAATCTGCACCACTGCTTCTGTATATTCTTATATTCAGCACTGTAGAGACACTGGACACTGACACTGCCCCCTTCCTGACCACTCACTCTGCTGTTTATCACTGACATAGCAGGACCTGAATAAAGAGGCAGAGAATGAGTGGTGTAAACATGTCCTACATCATAAGCGACACATCTCAGAAGCTTTGAGTTACAGTGAACATTTTCTGCTTCACACAGAGAGACGTCTTACCTGCACTGACCGTCAGGTACAAATAATCCTTGTCATAATTCCCACCAATTTCCACAGCACACCAATAATATCCAGAGTCAGAGTCTTGAAGGCTGTTCAGTTCCACGGTAAACATATTCTGGGTTGGATGATCGGTGACTGATGTTCCTCCACTTTTGTTTGTAGAAGCTACTATTTTACAGAAGGACCAGTAATACCCCTTACACCAGTATTTACGGTTTGATTTGTATTTCTCATCATAAAAACATGGAATACTGAGAGATCCTCCACGTCTTACAGCTAAATTCTTCAGTGTCTTCAGGCTCTCAGAATCTGCAGAAAAGAAGCCAAATTGTACCACAGCCTCAGTCCTACACTCTTAACATGGGGTATGCAAGGGTTATTTAGTAAAATCAATGGCTAAACATTTACTTTCCAATGTATCAGGTCCATTTACAATATAGATGCAATTTAACAGTTACAGACTATAGTCAATCTGTTTCTCTGCATAACTTGTTAACCCCCTTTCACCCTGTTCGTCAGTAGTGAGAGAAAATATTCTCAATATATGTTGTTTTCCCTTATGTTATTTTCTCAAGGTCTAAACTATGTTCACTGTAGAGTTTAAACAAATGGCAGAAAGGTGAAACTGGCCGTACTCTCACCTTGCCCCCTCACTCCTTTGTTTGTATTGAAATGACCCTTTGTCTCATGACCTTAAGGTGATAACAATCACCCCCCACCCTTATCTCTACCCCCTACATCTCTATTCATTTCTCCTTCTACAACCCCTCCTAAAACTCGTTTTGCTCCTCCTTCCTCTCCCTTAGTTTTCGATGTATATAAGGTCCTTCCAAAATATTCTTGTCAGACTGGACTGCTGACCAGGCTAGACTAGAATGGACTGGTGACCAGACTGGATTGGTGACACATTGATGACCAAGCTGTGCCCATGCATGATTGTCTACATGCACATGAATAAGACTAGACTCCTGATAGTGCTGATCGACTGTTGATCGACCACGCTGTACCCATACTCTGTATGTGGAAATAAACTCCAGTCAATGCCGAAGCTCCAGTCTCCTGACTCTTCTTGCCGTATTTCTAACAACTTGGTGCCGTGACCCAGATGGCTTACTGAAACCTACTTGGTGAGTAAAAACACAATGGACAAAACAGCTTTGGGGTATGGTATTAAGCATGATTCAGTTAAGGAATGTCTTTTTGTAATAAAGCAGCACTGGAAGTATAAGCTTAGATACATGGAGGGTAAGCTAGAGGAAGCTGAGGGAAAGATCCTAGAGCTAACTAGCGAATGTAAAAAGCATAAAGTAGCTGCCATGAATGCCCAGAGAACATGTAAAAAACCTAAGCAATCACTGACCAAGGTTGAACAGCCAATTGTAAATCTAAGTCAAAGGGTCAGTGCCGATCTCTACCTGTAGGCCCTCCTCCGGATCAGCCATGCTACACAGAGGATGAAGATGCTCCACTGTTGGCTAGGCTGTATCCAGAAAAACCTCCTCCTCTGATGAGGATTCTGAACCTACTAGCGATAAGGCAGTTCGTAATCAGAACCATGCAGGGAGTCACAGAGCAGTTGTCTTTGGTAATGAAGGCGGTAGAAGGAGTCATAGTTTTGTCTGCTCCTGCTTTTAACTAATCATTCTGATGCTTCAGCTTATCTGGGTGTTGAACTATCTTTCTGTTGTTATTTAAGCCAGATGTAAAAGCACTTTTTGATTTTTTGTTTGTAAGCAATGGATATTAGGGCAAAATAGTTGAATTGTGCTGGTCTACAGTAATTAGGGAAATTGACAACTAAATGGTTCAATTTTGCCTGATAGAAGCCCTCAGGTTAATGCGGTTTTGTTACTCACAACAACTTTGGGCCTTCTTTTTTAGGTCTATGTAACTACAGTAGGTCTTAAATCAGTCCGTATGCTACCATTTTAAAAACCACTAAACGATCTGCTGGTAACTCAGTTACAGTCCAGACTGGGAACTGGACATGGCTGAATTCAGATGCAAAAGTTGCTCCAGATGGTGTCTGGACCAAAGGGGGAAAACTTGCATTTGAAGCATTGCTATCTTTGTCTTGTGACACAAACGCATCCTTTGGGTCACACAGGGGTATAAAAATGTTCATTTGTTTTTCATGGTGGAATTCTAATTTTGAGAAGTAAGTAAAAGCAGTTTTTCCAAACAGTGCTACTAAGTCAGTACTGAAGGTATCTGTATGATAGTTTCAGGCCAATGAGTCATGGAGAGGAAACATGGCAGGCAGTCTTTAGAATCTAGATGAGAGGCTCCATATTAAGGTTCTGCTGATAGCTGACACAGGCATTAAATGTAAAGAAAAGAAAACACAGATACATGTTTCCCATTGTAAGGTTGTGTCTGCACCCCAGAATTGAATACAGGGACAGCTGGAGAGGGGGTGGGTGAAGCACAGAGCCTCAGGAAAGAACTATGGTTTTTAGGCCATTGGGGGCCCACTCGTGTAGGTGAAGATTTCAACACACTGTGTGGAACCATACCAGCCCCCTCTGAGGGACACATAGTGGGGAGAGCAGATGTCCTGTCCAGCATGGCACAAACGTCTTGACACTGCACACCTAAGCTACAAAGAACTGAGTGTCTGCTGTTGAAAGTGGACTTCCAGGATGATCTGCCCAAGCAACTGCTGTTATGGAATTCAACTTGCAATGACATCACTGTGTTGAAGCAAGCTGTTCAAGTTTCAAGATTCAAGTTTTCTTTTCTCCTCATTGCACCTATGATTTGTTCTTGTAGTCATAATACAGTTTTATGATTCTCCAAAGGGAATCGAGAGAAATATTCTCAATATACATTGTTTTCCCTTACGTTATTTTCTCAAGGTCTAAACTATGTTCACTGTAGAGTTTAAACAAATGGCAGAAAGGTGAAACTGGCCGTACTCTCACCTTGCCCCCTCACTCCTTTGTTTGTATTGAAATGACCCTTTGTCTCATGACCTTAAGGTGATAACAATCACACATCCCCCGCCCCCTTATCTCTACCCCCTACATCTCTATTCATTTCTCCTTCTACAACCCCTCCTTGTCTCTCCTCAAACCCGTTTTCCTCCTCCTTCCTCTCCCTTAGTTTTCGATGTATATAAGGTCCTTCCAAAATATTCTTGTCAGACTGGACTGCTGACCAAGCTAGACTAGAATGGACTGGTGACCAGACTGGACTGGTGACACATTGACGACCAAGCTGTGCCCATGCATGATCGTCTGCATGCATGTGAATAAGACTAGACTCCTGATAGTGCTGATTGACTGTTGATCGACCACGCTGTACCCGTACTCTGTATGTGGAAATAAACTCCAGTCAATGTCGAAGCTCCAGTCTCCTGACGCTTCTTACCGAATTTCTAACAGTAGTCAGGACTCTCACAGAGCAGGTATTATTTGGGTGGTGCATCATTCTCAGCACTGCAGTAATACTGACATAGTAGTTACATGTTGGAGTGTGTGTGTGTCTGTGTGTGTGTGTGTGTGTGTGTGTGTGTGGATTAGGTACAGCACAACGTATCAGTGTCATTGCTGGGCTGAGAAGAGTCCACCAACCAAAAAAAAATCAAACCAATAGTGTCCTTGGGTCAGAAACTGACCACTGATGAAGGACTACAGAATGGCTTACACAAACTGTACAGCAACAGATATGGACCAACAAGGTAGGTGTGTCTATTAGAGTGGACAATAAGTGGACACAGTGTTTATAAACTCCAGCAGCACTGCTGTGTGCAGTGTCACGGCAGTGCTAAGAATGATCCACCACCCAAATAATACTGTGGTGGTCTTGTGGAGTTCCTGACCATTAACGATCAGGGTAAAGAGCAGCCAAGAGATTATGAAGAGAAATTCAGTAAAATCTGTGATTCCAAAAAGTTTCATTTCAAAATGTTGTAAATCCATTTGTAACAGTATTGGATGTAATGAATTTTTGAAAAGAATAAAACTTGGCATATAATTAAAACCACGAGTTGATATTTCTCTAATAAAGGTGGTATTAATCACAACACAGCACTGATGTTTCTTTTATGTGTAAAGCTCACTCCCAACAATGCAAATCATTAAAAAAAATCCTGAAAGATTTCGATTCTGCATTTTGGAACAATTGTAGGACTACAAAATGCACCTCTATGGTAAGTAGACCTGATAACGTTGCACCCAAAATGTTATGATGGTCAGTTATTAAAATGTTTTAATAATGATTCCACAGAAATGTTCCTATTCATATAAATTATATAATTATAATAATCACATCAAAGATGTCAATATCAACCTGCACACTGACATGGATGAGTTAAAGCATTTAAAGCAGTGAAAGTGTAAAGAACACAAATTCAGTGCAAAGGAATGATGCAGCATTGATCTTACCTGAGATACAGAGGAGTAACACAAAGAGAATTAAAGAACTCATGAGTGAGTAAAAGTGCATGTTTCTATAAGAGGCTCCAGAGACAAATACTCTTCCTGCCTCTGAGTGAAGCAGCTCCACTTCAGTGCTCTTCCTGTTTAGTTTGCTAGTTCTCACTCTATCTAATGTATGGGGGGAAACATCAGTAAAGTGAAGAGCCCCTGCAGATTCAAAGATTTTCCAGTGACCATTACATCATCCTTAATTACCAAATTAATAAGTTGCTTAATTGTATTTTGCCCTCTGACGTTAATAACCACTCATTTTCAATAGTGTAAGTTAACGACATGTTAACCAATTATCTCTAAGGCTGGCTTTACACAGTGAAACTTCCATGCAACTTTATTCACTTGAAACCTACATGAAACTAAATTGCACTTGAGTTACATAATGTGTCTTGCAATTTGAACTTGAAACTCAGCTGCAACAGTTGCAAGTGTCTCAACTTCTTGGAACAAGTTTCATGAGGCTGATAAAGCATCACATGATTATATTAAACAACATCATTTCAATTGATTGATTTTACTGGGTCAAAGCACAAGGAAATGATACAGAATATGCATTATTGGATGGTTGAAAATGAGATCCTGATTAACTTCATGTAAGTTTGATAGTTTTTCATTCTGTCATTTTGTTGACAAACAAACATGAGTTTCTCGAAGCTAACATTTCTGTAACTAGCTTAACTAGCTACCTAACGGCAAAGGCAGTTTAACGGCAAAGGCAGTTTATTTTTCCTTATTCTGCTGTTATACTGATCTATGTTGTTAGTTTATTCATTTTCTCCTCTCTTTATGCCCCCTTATTTTACAGAGAGCTCAAATTCAGTTGAAATCCAAATGAGCTTTATACAAAGGCTATAAAATGCTTGAAATATGTAAATAACACCTACCAAAAAAAGACTTCACACACATACTGCCTCTGCATGGTATGACCAATGCAAACATCTAGCATAATACGTAATACATGGATCTAAATTAAAAAAAGCGTTAAAGAAAAAAATAAGCAAAAAAAATGTTTCCAGTATAGGCCTGCTGTACAACTGCAATGTATGTATGAATGGCTAATGTGTGTAAGCTGCAGCCGTCACAGTGCTGCTTCACTCTTACCACTCAGAAGTAGCTTCTGTATAAGAGGCCTAAGTGTCACTTCAGTGTGTGTTGGTATCTTTAGATCTTCTCTGTTTGTGATTTGGGACCGATAACACAGCTGTGCAGGAATATTTGTTAGAAAATGATTTCATCCTTTTTCTTTGAGCCCCTTAGTTACCATTGTGATGTTGGAATGGAAATAAACTCTGATATTTTAAATGAATACTAACAGACCTGCTCCGAAACATGCAGAAATCACATTTTATGCCTATTGTGAAAGAACTTAAAGCTGCCATTTGAACAACATTTGGAAATAACTTTTGGTTTGTGGTTTCTTTTGCACTGAAATGATCTCTCTTGGGTCACTCCCAGGAAATGACAGCATCTAAATGTTTAAATTAAGGTTTGCAGGGGGGAAGTGACCTAAAGGCCTCTGTGAGTCTTACTTTTTGTTCTGTTGAATAAGAGATGATATTTCAGTGCTAGTGAAGATCAACAGGTTACTAAAGTGTTTCTCAAGATATTCCACTAAACTGGCATTCCAAGATAAAGACTTGCAACCTTCCTCCATATTTTATGTTACTCTTTGTGCTTATTGCTGCATGCAAGCTAACACTACTGTGCAGTGAACTGACAACTGGCAACAAAAACCAGCAAGCTTTGTCAAATGTGGGAGTTTAACTGCTTAAACAGTTGTAGCCCAAAGTTTGAGGAGCCGGTGTTGTTTTAGAGATGAAGTATAATATTAGACTTTCATGTGACGTCATTTCAGCATACACAAGCGTTTGCTTGCTTGTAGCATAAATGTAGCAATATTCATATTTCAATTACTTAACATGCTCTCAGTTCAGAGGATCCAATGACATTCGAAAGAAAAACGTATGTAGGACAAAAAATATCGGCTTTGGACTATTTGTTTACCACAGGGTGCAGTAGCAGCAATTTCTGAAAATGTCATTCACTCCCCCCACCCCTTTGATTACAGCTCTTTGACATAGAGTTTCTTATATGCTGGATTCAGAAGGCTTTACACTTATTACACTGATGAACAGTGTATGCTCACTATGTATAATCATTCCGCTTGTGAGGAGGAAAGAAGGCAAGACAACAGCTACATGTTCTATGTTAACTATGTTCTATGAAAATGCTCCTAGTCAGCAGTGCTACTGCCACTGACTACTTCCACTGGAGAAGTGTTAGTGGCATGTACAGAGGTAAGTACAGTACACCAGCTCCTACAACAGGGGTTTTTGTCCAGCATGCCGTTTAAAAAAAAAAAAAAAATTCAAAGATTAAGCACTCAGTATGCCATGTCACAAATTGTTACCATGTATGTGACATAAACTAATTAATCAGTTTATTAAGCTTACATTTCAGTGTGATCCATGTCCCTGACTGTATTTGCAAAGATGATCCATCTGTGGTACTGTGCCATGCTCCTGTCCCCCAGGCCCCAATAATGGCCCTAAGAGCCAACAGGAAAGGCAGGCCCGACTCCGGTCCAGCGGCAAGGTCTCTTTACTTTGCCCTACGTTCAATCCCGGTGGCCAAGCCATGGAGCGGAGGAGGTGATGGGGAGGTAGAGCAACGAGCTCTCTTGCACTCTAACACAGCTAACGTCCTCCTCCCACAGTCACTTGTTGCTCTTACCATGTAGGCTCAGGCAGCACCCCCACACCCTCTCTCGTGGCTGTCGTCAGTGCTTGTTGGTTGCCTGACTGATGCCGGTGCATATGAGGTGACTTTGAGCCAAACACAGGCCTCAGAGTGGTCTACAGTAAGCCTGCTTCATGAAGGACTGAGGATGGACTTCAAGTGTGAGACGATCTGCTCACATAGGTGAGTTGACCCAAAGACTGACTGCATTGCCAATGCAATCTTCTAAAAATATTCAAATTCCTCTGGAAGTGATGTCCAACACATGAAAATGGACTGTGCATTTTCTTTGGATGTTTCAAATGATGTGCGTAGCTCACAAAACTTCATTGTCCACAGAGATGAGCTCTGGAAGTCTGCAGAGACTGCATACAGACACTGAGTTCATTCAAGTGTGATGTAAAAACCACAAGTAAGTGTCTGTCAAAACCACAAGTTTCAGGCCACCTGACATCCTCAAGCTCTGGGTAATGCTGGGTAAGATAGGCTTTAATTGCATCAAAGCAGTCCACAAAACTCTCAAGTACATTTTCACTACTCAGCCACCTGACACTGGAGTGAACTAGGATGTCTTTGTTTGCACATTCCATTTATTCCAGCAGTGCTTGGGATTGCCTTTGAGTCAAGGCAGAGCAACTGTTGCCATCACAGTTTTAAGATCAGAAATTGATATCTTTGCATAGAGATTTTCCTGGTGTATAATGCAGTTTCATTTAAGAACAGGGTGCCCAAGTTTGTCCTTAATTATTTTGCCAAATTGTTTTTTCGAACATCAAAGACTTTCAAAATGTTCAGCAAAGGTTTTCGCCAATTCTTCATGTTTTGTGGTGCCATTGATGGGTTTCAAACAGCACAGTTCCTCTCGTACTCCAGAAGAATCACAATATCTTGCCACAACTGCCAAACGAAACAAATCGATGATGTCCACGCTTTCATTGACTGCGACACTAAACACAGCGCAGTCTTTCAGTCCAGTCACTTGCTGTTCCCTGATGTATCAGTGATACAGCGCTGAACAGTTCATGCTGAAGCGGGAATGTCTTTAATCCCAGCAATGAAAGTCTGTCTGCTCGGTAAACCGTCAAACAAATCACCCACTGCACAGAATGCTTCTTTAATGTATTCTCCGTCTCTGAAGTGTTTACCATGTTTACAATGTACTGAGCTATCTTGTAACTTGCAAGTGTGGCATAACTTTTACCATGGCTTAAATTTTAATGAACACTTGTCTGTTTCTTGTACCTTGAACCATTTGTCTTAAATGAGCTTTGATGATTTGTCTCAAAATGGCGTCTGACACTTGAGGTTCGGCAACCGAGGCTTTCACAGCACATAAAGCACACACCCGTCTTTTTGTTGAATAAATCCATACAAATCTGTCTAATCTTAATGAAATTAATAAATGTCCACTTTAGTGAGTTTAGCTGCCATATTATTGTTAAGTTCATGCGTATTTGAAAGCTGAATCACTCCTCACACCTTGATTAGTCTACTTGACTAGCATAAATTACTCCACCCCATCTTAACTGATCATAAGCTGTAAGAAATCACCCAACCAATAAGGCGCTGTGTTTGAAATACTTTTTTTTTACTTTCACGTAGGGCCATGCAAACATGCCCTACGTGCCAGCTGTGCCATGCGTGCCATACATTGCCCACCCCTGTGCTACAGTACAGTGCAAAAGTCAGAGACCACTTTCCTTTATTTAATAACTTCTCACAGTGGAGCTTTTCTCCTGTTTCTCAAAGATGAAAGCTTTAAGTGCTCCTTATCTGATTAGTGAGAGTTTTGGTGGTCTACCAGGTACTGAGCCCCTTACTCTCTCTTTCAGTTCCAGCTTTGAAAACTCCTATTTTTTATTATTTTTCTTTGGCTTTAGTTTTATGCTAGCAAATTATTTTGTATCCAATCTCTTTCTCCTGAAAAAATTATAATTTTTACTTAATGACCATGTTGACTGGAAATTAAGTAAATGAAAAGTGGCCACTGACTTTTGCACAGTACTCAACATAGAGGGTGAGATGTAAATGAGTAACCTTTTACACTTTTACAGTACACATGGAGCCAAAACAGAACTTTTGTCGGGTGTAATACCCGCCATCGCCACCAGAGAACGTTACAGAGTGTAGGCCCGAAATCAGTGACACCATAGTCAACAAACCTGGAGTCCAGAAATTTGGATTGGCTGTTTGTCTTTACATGAAATATAATGAGAGAAATCTAACCTCTCAAAATACTTAAAGAAAAAAAGCCTAACAATATCTCAAAAAAGTCAGAGGACTCTCAAAGAGCCAT